GAATGAAATTTTCAAATATTGATTTACCTCGACACGAATGCTGGACCTGGGAGAAAACTTTCATTCATTATGTCAATCAATATCACTGTGGGCAGAGGTAGGGGTGGGCGATAATGATTTTGAAATATCGATTATCGATATTCATAATGTATCGATATTATCGATTTATCGATAATTTTTCCCACCCCTAGTCGTGACAAGGGTATTTTTATTAAACTAATTTTTTATATTCACTTTCTGGTTTCTAGGTAGCTATAATAAACAAAGCTATTTTGTCATTACCTATGTTATTTTTCAAGAAATGAGCGATCGAATGATAAAATAAAAATATTCCATATAATTAGATAACTCACCTTACTTGATACTTGTTACTCGTTCAACATATAACTAAACAAAAAGTTTGCCACCACAACTAATAAGGATTGCCACGTTGCCAGATGTTATATATATAGCTTCAGGCAAGTTGCTGTGCTGGAGTCCTATGTTGCTTGAACAAGGCTAATGTACAGGGTGGTGTGTCTTATTATATTTTCATTCTTACCTCAATTTTTACCAACAGGTATCTGTTTTATACAGTGTGTTCAATATAAAAAACAAAAATACCTATTTTTCTGATGCTCATTCATTTTGATAATTTTGATATCATCGGTTATATCGATAATTTCGATAATTTCGATATCATCGATAATATTGATAATTTCGATAATATCGATAATTTCGATAATATCGATAATTTCGATTATTTCAATTATATCGATAATATCAATAATTCCGATAATATCGATAATTCCGATAATATCGATTATTCCGATAATATCGATAATATCGATAATATCGATAATATCGATAATATCGATAATATCGATAAATCGATAATTTTTCTCAAAATTATTATCGATAATTATCGATAATTATCGATATATCGATAATTTTTCCCACCCCTAGGCAGAGGACATACGAACCAAATATTACAAAAATGTATAAGATGGTTCATAAGCCATAATCGATTGAAAAAATCGGGAAAATTGATAAATCACCCTGTATCCTGGTTATAAAGAACGATAGATCCATGGAATATAGGTTTTTCAGGAGCACCTTGGTGTCCTCCATCTACCCTTACCGTATGCGCATTTCCCATTGAATCACCCTGTATCATTACGTTATCAGGTGACGGTCAAAATTTGCAGCCTCTTGGACTAAAAGTTACATGCATAGAAAATCGTGCCGACCGTGGCAAGTCGATTCGACCGATCCGAGTCGAGTCGAGCGATTCGAGTCGACTGTGTGCACGTGGTCCTTAGGACCATGTCATCAAAAGTTCTCTCTAGGTTCATTTGGGTTCCGATTTCAGAACTGTTCAAGAATCGTTCTTGAACTGCGTTGAACTAGTGCGCAGTCATTTCGAATCCTAAGACTGTTTCAGAACGGTTCACAAATTATGAAAACCCGACCGCAGCAGACGAGAACCTCTGAAAACATAACCTCTATTCAGAATTTGCGAAAATAACAATAGTTTGGAACCTGTATCTTTATTCAAAATATTCAAATAATATTCTGAAGCTTCGCACTCTCCTTTGAGTCTATTCACAATATCTCTGGAAACCCTCTGTAGAGGAATGGTGATTATATTCCATTATAGCATTCGTAGCTAGATTTTGAATGTATTATTGTCCCTTGTACCCACATAAATTTCGACACCCACCTGAAATGTTCAATGGAATTTGTATCTGAATATAATGGCAAAGTCTCCCCAACATAATCCTCCATTTTTTGGATCATCTAACAAAAGCAACTTCAGCAAGTAACTCCTTCACCACTGCTTCCTGAAGATGAAGAACTACTACTATCAAATGAATGTACTAGTGGTGCCCGCGAGAATCTCGTTTTCGAGAGTCTCGCATGGTCTCGTCTCGTTTTCGAGACAAGACTCGAAACGAGTCTCGGACAAGACGAGACGAGACTCTTATTGGTCCCGTCTCGAGTCTCGTACGAGACTTCTCGTCGGTGAATATTTCTGCGTGCCGACTGCAGACTTGAGAATTTCATTCATAATACAACATATTTAGAAAGTATTCAGACTTTTTATCACAGATAGACAAAACATTTCATTTATAAATACTTTAAAAACACAATCCATGATTGTTGTGAAACGACGTAATGCGTGAAAACTAAAACGGACTATTCTCTCTCTTACGGCGGCGGAATATGAAGGCAATTCTTCAATAACGAAAGATCGCAAATTGAATGACTACCTACCTGAAAATCTATAAATGAGTCATTCTGTGCTAAATAGTTCAAGATAAAGATGTATGATGTAACTATGTACCTAGTAGGTACTTACTTTTCAATAAATAATGTTATTTTTGTTGTCATTTTCTCTTCCTACTTCTACATTATATCTAAAAAGTAGGTAAAGGTAAATATCCCGTATTGAACTGCAACAAGATTATGCATGACAAAATTGCGATACATTTGCGAGACTCTCGTACGAGACGCGAGACAAGACGAGAGCCGAGGCTGCGAGACGAGACTCGAGACAAGACTTCATATTTCATCGACGAGACGAGACGAGACTTTATGAAAGTCTCGTCTCGTTGGTCTCGTGTGAATCACTAGAATGTACTAACTCCATAATATTGAGAAAATATTAAAAGTGCAATAAACAGTAGAATGAACAAAAATATATTATTATGACGTTACGCTACAACAGACAGAATCGAAAACTAAATGAAATGAAACAAAAATATTCCTAGAACGGTTCTAGTGTAGTAGATATGCGATAAAAAATGGTCTTAGGTGGAAATAATTCCCACGAAATTCATTTTTGCTTTTCTCAGTTCAGAATGCATAGATTGACACATATGAGAAAATATAGAATGATACTTTCCTGCAAAATAAAAATTCAGTGTTTCCAATATTCGTTTATTCGTTAATTCGTATAAATCATAAACCTAATAAAAATGGCATATCTGGAATATAACAGAAGTTTATTCATTATCTTCAACTTCCTTGATTGGAATATTGGTACCGTCTGGAACAATTATTGCACAATACTGTGCAAAAAATTCCGTATCGTCGACATTTACATCTGGTTCCACAAGGTTCATCTAATTCAGTTTCGCAAGTACTTCCGTACGTCATCATATGATACAGAAAACCCAAGCTTATGAAGTTCATCGACAAGTAACCGAGGTCGAAAATCTCGATGATACTGCACACCAACACCTAAACGAATTGAACTTATGATAGATCGTGGCCTTGCAGCTTGCATTAGTGCCTGTTCAATTGAATATTTCTTCAAACTTGAGTATTTTTTGTTGATTATTACATCCAAGAATGTTCTAAAAATGTCGGGTGGAAGCTTATTATTTTCCTGCTTGGAACTTTTTTCTTCTGGTGAAGGATAAAACTCTACGGATGTTCGCATCAACTTGATTGAATTCTTTTAATCAGTTTAGCTGTTGCTTCAACTATTCGAAATGTTTCAGCATCTGGATCTTCTGAACACTTTTGTCGCTGATAATCACAAATTATATTGGCAACTGTTTTCCCTGTTACGATCATATCAGCTCTACCTTTTTGTCTCAATATCATAATGTCATCCTAGAAATATTCTTCTAATTTTTTATGCATACGACGAACAGTGTAAGAATCGATATTTCCTGGCAGCAGCTCTGCCATTTTGTCTAGCAACTCCTGAACTGAAATTGATTCATCATTTTTCTTGAGCCACCTGCATATTTTGAAAAAGCATCTTTTTTTTATCAGAAGGACGTCCTGCTAACTCTGTCTGTTCATTGGGAATATCATGTTGATGTTTCTTAGGAATAGAGACGCCTTTTCCAAAATTCACACTACATTTCTGATTATACAGAGCATCTGCTGCTGGCAAGTATCGATAACGTAAAGAAGACGTGCAAGGACATTTGATTATCAAAAATCGTTTCTTGCATCACACACATCAATAATAGTTTGTCGAAACGCGAAAGTTCGTACTGGTAAAATTGCAGATTCAATTATTTTCTCAGTTTCCTTGATGAATTGGCCACAAAACAAGCAATTATGTGTGAATGTGAATGTCGGCAGCTCAGATCACAAAGCTCTGTTGCTGCTGCTGCTACTAGTTGATGCTTCTCGATCAGGAACTGATTTAAACTTGAAATCATTCTTCATCTTGTTCGGATTTACGTACAAACGACGACATTCGACGTGAACAATTAGAGGATGAATAGGCACTGGTTCCAAGAGTTCAATTATTTTGTCTTGCTGCTACTTGCTAGCATTCAATTCCTTGGACACCTTTAGCCCCGCCTTCAGCAGTCAATTTAACACAATTCGAACTATCATCAGTACTTAACGAAAATAATAAACATTTGTTATCTTTCATCGCTGCTTTCAATTCACTATATTTAGGTATACCTGGAATAATATATCAAATAATGGAACTTTTCATTCACGATCACAGAGAATAGTCTCAATCACATACCAAAATGATTTTTTCACACCTCGACACGAATTTTGAGATCTGCTAACCACATTATCATTTTTAGGAAGATTATGAAATTCGTTGGAATCTTATCATGAAGATCCTAACATAGGTAGTGGAACATGTGTTGAGTTGTGAAACAATCATTTCGGTTCCAGGCACCTAAAATATGAAAAGTTGCATAAAAACATTTTTGCATGAAAGAATGCATCTATATTTTTAATATAGTGTATGGGGTCGAATGGGGCATCAGAAAATGAAAATTGCGTTTTTGTGGAAATTATTTCCACCCCAATTCCTCCAACTGCTCTACTATTCATGCTCGAGAGCAGGTACTGGTTTCGGATAATTTTAAAGGTCCACAAAACCCGAACGCGACCGATTCTACTGCGCAAACTCCTGACAGTTCTAGAACAGTAATTGTTCGAACCCGAATGAACCTTCTGTTATGCACGGCGGTTCCACTGGAATCTCAACATTCAGGTTGTGAATAATAGATCTGGTTTTCCTCTAGATTCTGGACGGATTGCAATACCTGCATTGGAGGGGACTATGCCATCTGGATCTACAACCGGACAACGTAGTCATGTGCGGTGTGAGATCTGTGCAAGTGAAGCTGGTCGATCTGGGATCAGCTCACAGGGTCACGAAATTGGGAACGAAAGTCCCAGTTCTAGGCCATCCAGATTATATTGGTGAGTTGGTTAAAGTTGTGTATGTAATACAACAAGTGTATTGATGATTATGGAAATACAAATTCCTTTGATTAACGCAAGTGTGGTTGCCTAAAAGCAACATAATTTGTTGAGAAAAAGAGTAGGGACTTCCGATAATCTTCAATGGAACGAGTTGTATTTGTTAAGATTATTTCAGTCATTATTTCATGACTAAAACAATGATTGTATATACTATTTTCATTTGCAGTCGGTTATGCAACTATAACGATACATCGATTGCTATCTATAGTAGTTTAGAATATCATATAGAGACAGGCCGCACCAAATATTGCCGTGCGTCTCGGAATCGCTCGCAATATTCTATGCGTCCTGTCCCTAGAGTCTAGACGCTAGTGAGTTGTAAGAGGTTAGGTTGATAAAGAAAATGTTTGCTCAAATGCCGATCATACAAAGTTGGTCTAAAATTCGTTGATACAATAAAGTTCAGTGACTATCACCATTTTGTCTGAGGTTCAGTGTTAAGTGCTATTTATTCCTGAATACATGGTGAAAATTCCTATCGAGTGAAGCTTTCCGTTAAAATAGAAATGTACAATTAGTTTCGTCAAGAAATCAAATTTTGTTGAATTTCAGTCAAAATTGTGTACATAATTCTCATACTTCTTTTTTTGGCATTTTGTTTCATTATAATTCGAAGATCAACTATAAAATTGTTACACGATCTTGTGTGGACCTAGAATTGAAATCATCTCAAAATTTCTCACCGTGTATGACATCCATTTCCATGACAGTCTACGTTTTTATCACGAGAAGCGCACGAAAGGAAATTCCTATAATGTTCGTGAAAAATTGCACGTACCTAGGGAGAACAAATAGTTTTTGGAGGTTGTAAGTTCTTGGAAATACTTCCATTGGCATAAAATTCCGTAGCTTCGCCGTTCTATAGACGAACAAGTTTTGGTAGAGTGTTGTTCAACATTTTTCAAGGTCAACGACGAAGTGATTTGCTGACTGGACCTGTCGAGTTCGTCTGACTGGTATCAGTAGTGATGAAATTATAGCAGAAATTTCAGAGGATCATTTCCAATGGAAATATGTATAAAAAAGTGGAAGGTCGCCGACTTTACCAACGGTGTTCTAATAAGGTCAAAGAGTTGGTGAGTGTGACATCATCCGCCAGGCGAATGGCTCTTCTCTGGATGAAATCTAAGAGCATCAGCATATGATTGGGTGCTGAACCCCATACAGGAGAACAGCATCTTGAAACTGGCCGGATCTGGCAATTACAAGTCATCTTCTATATCTTAGTTCGTTTAACTACTAAAGCTGTTTTCTAGTTTTCTATATTTTTTGTAAGAACCGCTTCGAAGGCGCCCAAATTCCCTACATTTGGGCGCGTGTTGCCTTCCTCGGATTATGTTACCGTTTATCAGCCTTCCTCTCCGGAAACTTCATATCATACAATATATCACAGCAAACAACTTGTTATCGCCTTCACAACATGGTTACACTAAGAAAAAAAGCACTGATACGGCACTGTGTGAATATCAAAATCAAAGAGTAAGTGCTCTTGACAAAAAGAAATGTGGTTTAGGGTTATTTATTGACTTCTCACGGGCTTTCGACTGTGTTAACCTGTTAAGCATGATCTTCTGCTCGACAAAATCTCAAGATACGGTGTAAGAGGAATACCCCTATCTTTACTAAACTCATACTTAAATGAGAGAAGACAATAAGTCAAAGTTGGAAAAAGTCTAAGTACTGAAAGAAATATTGAGGATAGAGTACCATAGGGATCCATTTAGCTTCTGCCAATGACTTGTTAGGGTACCTGAATAAAAACTCGGCCATTCACTGTACATGTTATGCTGATGATACCAATATATTAATTATTGAAAACGATATGGAATCCGCTGTTGTTGTGGCAACCTACGAAAAAATTATTATGTGGTCGAAAAAAAACAATTTAATGCTGAATGAAGCTGAAACTAACGTGTTGAATTTCAAGATGAATACTGGACAACAATATATGTTGAACCAGTTTGTCAATACTGCTTTGGAACTGAACCTAACTTGTCTTTGATGACAAAATTCAATGGAGGAAGAAAAGTACCGTATCGTCTGCATAAATAGTGTAATTACATTCTGTATCAATTTTCGTTATATTTTGAATATATAATAAATATAAAATTGGTCCTAAAACAGATGGAGGGACACTTGAGGGACACCTTTAGTCATCGGTAGTCTATGAGACTCTGAGTTGGTAGATTTGGTACTAATTGTCCTATTTTGAAGATACGAATCTAAAAGGTTCCTTATCATGCTTCTGAGTCCCATTGATTCTAAATTTTCCAGAAGTGTTATGTGGTCTACTGTATCGAAAGCTTTCTTGAGATCAACAAAAATTGCTATCACATAATTTCCGGTATCAAGTCCTTTTTGTATTGCTTGTATTTTCTTCGGGTTGCCTTCAGAGTCTTCGAACTTTTTATTAATATATCGAGCCTTTGCTCGTTTGATCAAAGAATTCACTTAATTTCTTTGTATTTTATTATTAGCATATAGACTGTTGGCCCGCGACACAGGGTTTATCGATGTTCTAAGTCGGTATGCCATTTAAGGGACCCACTCACTTAGTCCAAGTTAACAGGAAGGAGTGCCTCGGAGAGTCGCAACCCAGTCCTTGCCCCGGCCCTGACCTCACTTTTCGGTTGGAAAAAAGTTCAAAATTTTGTTCAAGAAGAAGCTCGGCAATGAAGCGCAATGATCTTACCTCACGAAAATTGGGTCACTTGCCGGTTTGCATACGCCTAGGTCAGTCCCCAAGTGCGGCATACGAACCGGAAGTGGCAATTTTTTAATGTTATAGTCGATGATCGAAGAATATATGCCCTTTGCCAAAACAATGAATTCTGACCCATTAATCAGTTTCCCGACATTTGCATACGTTTCCGGAGAGGGGAGCTCGACTTATTCGAACATCAATTGACTAGACATCTTTCAAATAATCGATGATTCAAGTTCGTATGCAAATCTCTAGACCAATAAAGTAGGATATTCTTTATAACTGGATGCTATTTGCATACGAATTCAATGTGAGCATACGTTGTAATAATCGGGCAAACCCGCGCGTGCCTCGGTCCGGCGCGGCGCCCCGCACTGCAGGCCAGAGGTGCACCGAAAGCGAACTAGATAATCGGGAAGTCTCATAATCTCACTTCACATGAAACCGGGTCAAAGAAAAACTTCCTGGGAGTGATAGGGATATTCGAAGACGCAAATTGCAGATATATTTGTATTTATTCATCAGAAATTTACAGATCAACAAAATTACGTGTGAGAGGTTTAGCACCAAGAATTTTTTTGTGTGATTTTGATTTGAAAAACAGGGCTTCCAAAAGATGATGAAAAGAAATGACAACAAGATACTCGCAGGATGATCAAGAGGAATCGTACAGGGAGAAGAGGGGTGGATTATTGCTCATGATCGAAACTCACAATAAATCGAATTGAAATTCTTCACTGGGGCTTATGGGACTGCTTATCATAATACTGGTATCTGAGAAATATATAAAGAATGTACATTCAATTTGTTGAATGTTTTGGGTATAGTATGGGGTCTGTAACCTGAACTTTAATCTACATTTTTGTTTTTCACATAAAAAAAAATTATTTGAAAATGTAATTATATTAAATGAAGACAACATTATGTTTCAAAAGAAAAATTATACGTCGTCCTCTCTATCATTATCTTCAGATACATCTTCGCTCTCGCTGTCTGAAGATGATTCTCCAGAAATGTCATCAGTACCTGTTAGTGAGAATATTATTTAATTATTGAAAAATCTTGGCATGCTCGAAAGATATACCTGATACTTTCTCAGTTGATGTCTCAGAGATTATGATATCAGAGATTATGATATCACCAACCTCTGCTGGAAGAGCTTCACCAAGGTACCAATTGAAATCGTACCCAAAAAAAGTATCAAGAACGCCGCCCCTCCATTATTTTTTATATAACTGACAATGACATAACTTCATCAAACCCAGTATAGTTGACTGGCGTTTAGCGATAAGATTCACACGCTGCACTTATATACAGGGTTACTGGTAATCCGATTCATACCACTGGTAGGGGAGGCAGTAAGAAGTGAATAAATCTGGAATATACATTATACAAAAGTAAATGATTTTTCAGATATTTGAATATGGGATCTCCGATAAAAGGGAAGAACATTATTGAATGCCTAAATCATTACGTGCTACACTCTACCCGGCTGACGCAGCAAATCATTGTTCAGATATGAAAATTGTTTCAGCAAAAAAAAAGGAAATACTTCAACCCCGGGATTCATATTTCTGGCACGATTTGACAATTTGACGCATGATCGCTATGAGCATGTTCGGTGCTATAAGAGTGCTGCGTGTAAATGATATCGCTAGTTGCTGTAGAGCTGTATTCGTCATGATAATCTCAACTCGATAGTGAAATAAAATTAGTGTTCCAGTAAAAAAAAATCAACCACTATCCCATAGTTCATTTGTTATGAAATGCCTATGAATTTTTTGATAACAATGAAAAATCTCTTAGGACAATCATTTCAATTGGTTTTTGAAATTTTAAAATCGGTCCAGAAACAAATAAGTTACAATGGGAGATATTTATGGTGAAACACCCTGTACGGAATGTGCAAATTGTATGCAAACCATCATCTCATATATACTGTGTGGTCCACTAACCATTGTCAAAATTTGAACATTTCTTCGATCATCGATTATTTGAAGAATATCCAGTCAAATGATGTTCGAATAAATCGAGCTCCCCTCTCCGAAATCGTATGCAAATGTCGGAAAACTGATTAATGGGTCAGAATTCATTGTTTTGGCAACGGGCATACATTCTTCGATCATCGACTATAACATTAAAAAATTGCCATTTCCGGTTCGTATGCCGCCCTTGGGGACTGACCTAGGCGTATGCAAACCGGCAAGTGCCCCAATTTTCGTGAGATAAGATC